ACTATGCCTATCAAAGATTCATGTTTCAGTTCTTATTTTTAAGAAAAATTGTTCCTAATAGCTACTGTCAAATTTTTTCTTTCACATACAATTTTGTAAATCTTGATATTAGATAAGTTTTTACTTTAAAAAGTGCCCTAATGACTCCTCAAGGAAGAGCATTTCAGGATAGCCTTGTTTGGGTACAGCTTAGGTTTGTGTGTGTGTGTGTTTTCTCATAAAAGTCACATGGTGTTTGCGCTGTGGAGCTTAACCTATCTTTAATTCTGTTTACATCCTTTAAGGCAAAACCATAACCAAAATGAATTTAAGATAACCTAATTAGAGGGCCAGGAGAAACCAGCACAGATTATAAGGAGTGTGAGATATCATGATTCATTCTAGGATTGGACTGCAACATGTGGATATGGTTTGGCTTTGTGTCCCCACCCAGATGGATGTCATGTTGAATAGCAATGCCCAGTGTTAGGGGAGGGTCCTGGTGGGAGGTGATTGGATCATGGAGACAGATATCCTTCTTGCTGTTTTCCTGATAGCAAGTAGGTTCTCACAACATCTGGTTGTTTAAAAGTGTATAGCACTTTCCTCTTCACTCTCTCTGCTGCTGGCCAGTGAAGATGTGCTTGCTTCCCCTTCACCTTCTGCCATGAATGGAAGTTTCCTGAGGCCTCCCCAGCTGTGCTTCCTGTACAGCCTGTGGAACCATGAGCCAATTAACCCTCTTTTCTTTATAAATTACCCAGGCCCAGGTAGTCCTTTATAGCAGTGTACTTTTTGTTGATCCCATGTGAGAAACTGCATTACACTGAGATAAATCCTCTAAAACAACCAGGCTAGTTTACAATATTTGCTCAATGTTTCAATTGCCTTAGTCCCTTTTTTGTTTTAGTATTTTGGCCTTTATTCACCTGCCCCATTCTGGTGACATTGTGTATATATTTGTTTCCTTATGCTTTCAAAATGTTTTTCAGATACATTTTCCCATTTGATAGCAACAATTACCCTTCTAACTATCTTCATTTTGCAAATAAATAGACAAATAGATATACAATGAATTAACAGTAAATCCAAGCTGGAATGTGTGTTTTGTATGGTCTCTTTTCCTACTCTATCATATTTCCTCTTCACTCCATTGCTACATAACAATTTGCCCATTTCCTAATGCAGCTTTTTTTTATTACCAATTTGTTTTATGTCTGTTTATATAAGAATCTGTGCCTTCTACAAGTGAGTAATTACCAAAGATGAGAGTCAGCTTACAGGTAAAAGCATAGCCTCAAGTAAGACATTTAAGGATAAAATTAAAAATTACAATCTTTGACATAATAATCTACCATTTGCAATTACTGTTTATTTTCCTTTTCCCTTTATGCTTCTGCCAGCCAAGATTAGGTCTGAACACAGTGATTTTAAACACAGGGGGGGCTTGCTGGCTCCTTATCCTGGTTTCATCACTTGGCAACCATGGGAAAATTGTTTAATCTACCTATGCCTCACTTTCTCTATCTGTGAAACGGATATGATGCTAACTAATAATAGCGCCTTCCTCATCTTGCTGAAAACATTGAATTAACTAATGAATGTAGAGTGTACAACACAGTCCCTGTTACAGTGTAAACTCTAAGTAATTGATGGTTATTGCTTTTGTTGCAAAGTACCCTGAATGTGTTCACATGGATTTTGTTCTATAAAAAGTTATGATTTTGTCAAGAATAATTACCAACTCTTAAGTTCATATGAAAGAAATATCAATATGTGTGTATCTAATTTTCTAGTTCCCTGCCCACCTAAGGTAAACTGCATAAATATTTGTTGAGTAACTTCTATAGACACTTGTGGACTTAATTATAGTGGTTCTCAACCAAGAATAATTTTACGCCATGGGATATAAGTGGCAATCTCTAGACACAATTTTTATCATTCCCCACTGGGAAGTGCTACTGGCATCTAATAAATTAAGGTCAAGAATACTGCTAAACAACCTAGAATGTACAAGACAGCCCCCACCACAAATAATTTTCCAGTCCCAAATGTCAATAGTGTGGTGCTTTTGAGAAACCCTACTCTATTAGAAAAGGGAAAAGTATGACATCATCACTATGTAGAATCTAGTTAAAAAATGCTTATCAAATAATGCAATTGCATTTGCAATAATGCCTGTTAACACCAGGATAGGGCTATGGTTATTTCATCTTCAGGACCTGTTGGCTTCATAAGAAGGCATATTATATGGACATAATTTTATGTTTAGATAAACTACAGTGTCCTTGCAAAATTTGCCATAACGTCATCTTCTTTACACGGGATCTTAACCTTGGTTGATTATGAAAACTTGATATAAAAATTAGCATTATATTTCAAAATACTCTATTTGCCATATTACCTATTTAAGCTACTTCTTGAAGGGCTACAAATTATTATTTCTTTAAATGAAGACTACATAGGAATCTATAGCAGGAATGTTGCTTTAAGTGATGCAGTTAATATGCGGTATTTTTTCCCCATTTATTTATTTTATTGCATTTTAGGTTTTGGGGTACATGTGAAGAACATGCAAGATTGTTGCATAGGTATTTTAAGTAGATGGTATCTATTGGTAAATTTTCTTTATATGTAGATATAGTCCATTGTCATGTTCAGTTGAATTAAGTGATATTAATGTGGAGGCGACCAATATCAATGCTGCTTTCCTTTGGTTAAGCCATTGTTTGTTGCTGTCGTCGTCGTCGTCATTTTCTTGCTCAAGATAAAATCATTCTCTTTTTTACCTGCTGAACACTTTCCTTTAGCAATCTCAAACTTATGCACCAAAATGGAATTTTGTGTTGGACCTTTCTGATAGATTTTTGGTACGGATAGGTGTGTGTGTGTCTGTGTGCACGTGTGTGTGTGTGTGTGTGAGTATGTTAAGGTTTCCACTTAAAGTTCAGTGCCAAAGCTACAGTACTTATACATTTTCTAAATGTGTTTTAAGCAATAAGTTGTACAACATTTTTAGAACATGTGTTAAGCTATTTCTCTAAGAATGAAGCTCTTAACAAAACATAAGCACTCTGCATGAGATCTTAGCAGCAAAGTGCTTAAAAGATAAAGTAAGAATTGGTACCATGGGAAGAACACCAGCTGTAGAGCACACAGGTCCATTATGAGAAGTATGGTAGTGGGTAGGGAGAAAATGATTTAATCAGGAGTAAAACCAATTTTATTATAAGGGCACGCAGGGGGTGTGGCACCATAGTGAGAGGGACATTTCAAAATATCTGACAGATTTCAACAATGTGAAAACCCCGTTCTTTAAAGTGACAGTAAACCCCATCAGGTCTCCCTTTTTGATGCTATTGTTAACAGTTGACTGTTTAAAGCTGGCCTGCTAAGATGCTGTCGGCCTATTTCAATAGTGTGTAGCCAAATAAAAGACTAATTGTTGAAATACAATCAATCAAAAATGATTGCAGGGCAGGAAGAAGGTCTCCTCTGCTGATTTTGTTGTGGATCATATTATTATGCTATGATTGAGGTAGAAATGAAGACTAAAAGGGAAGATTAGCCGTCTGAAATAAACAGATTCACCTTCATTTCTTCTCTTTGCAAACACACTGTTGAGCAGGAACACCACTTACTATAAGCCCCAGAAACAATGGTTCTTTTATTTTTTTTTAAAAAAAAAAGATCTGCTAAAGGTTTGGGCTAATATTTTTAAAGGACATGAACATTATTAGCAAAACACCCCATGCAGAGAATCCCTACAGTGACAATTCTCAGCTTTTCTTACATTTTTGGTGCAAAATGCTCCTCTGCATTCATAAAACTGACATCCAACGGACATGTGAATGCGAGCCCAAGACATCAGTAAAGAAACAAAATTCCAGTTGACCGAATACCTTGGTGCTTGCCAGGATTCTCAGCTTTTCAGTTAACCCCCAGATTGTCTAAAATGATTAGTTTTTTTATGAAGCCCAGAATCCAAAACCTTTTTCATGTTGCACGTTTAGAAAGGCAAATCATCTGGCTCGACAGCAGTGTCTTTGTACCTTGCTTCCTGTTCATTTTATATCAAGATGTCCCTTTCAGACATGAATGCATCTACTTCTTGGGTGAGACTAATTCCAGACTTTCATATTGAGGGTGAAAAGGACAAAAATAATTGCCCAGCACACTTTATTTGTACTAAAACCTTCATTTTGGCATTTACTTTCCTTAATATTTCAACATCTCCACTCACTCAAGCTTCCCTTGCAAATATTTCTGTTGTTTCTAAAAAGAGTTGGTAAGCATTTGTGGTTTGTCTTTAGTGTGTTATCATTTTTGACAGCTTTGCATAGCCTACGTAGGCCAACAGGGGTCTGTCTAATATTGTTGCTGGGCATATTTTCCTCACTGAGATGAGAACCGAAAAAAAGATATTTTTGAAGCAGTAAGAAAGAATTAATATCCTTTCTCACTCAGTATTCTATTCCTTGCTGACTTTATATTCAGGCAAAAAAAAAAAAAAAAGGGAAAAAGTGTTACCCATTATTCCCTTGTACATAGCAAGGCTAACACATGTAAAGCAATAACTCATTTTCTATTGCCATGTTTAGCATATGTCTCCTGTTGGCTCAGCAGGGCCTTTAGGCCGGTCCCTTGAGCCGGCCATCATTGGCAACTCTTAGCCCCTCGGCCTCAAAACCAAATAGCTTTGAATCATGTTGAGCTGTGATGCTAATTTTTATACTGATGCATTATGGGAATAAATGTATCTGACATATTGTGTCAATGGCACTGTCTCTTTGTGTCTCTTGGTTTTTTGTTAGCTGCATTCCTACAGATGGTATTCCATTGAAAATGTTCCCTTCCTACGGAAAAAGGGAGAAAAAAAAAACATGCACAGCACCAAACCTCTAGGTGCAGAAGGCTGTTAACGGTTGCTGATGATAGTAGGCAAACATTAACATAATAATTAGTGTCTTGTAATTGTTTCATTAAAACCAGTTGTTCCATTTCTCCTCGTGTTTTCCCAGAAGAGAAGCTGAATTTGGACGACAGCCAGTGGGAGGACATCCACGTTGTCACCGGAGCACTGAAGATGTTTTTCCGGGAGCTGCCTGAGCCGCTCTTCCCTTACAGTTTCTTTGAGCAGTTTGTGGAAGCGATCAGTAAGTACCTCACAAAAAGGGGCAGGTGGCGGAATCACCTGACATCCTGAAATTATTAAGTAAATAATAAGAATGATTATAATAATAATCATGGGGAACAGATAGTATCCCTGATGCTCCATATCTTGCGTTCGTTTTTATGTTTTGATGGCTAGTTTTATTTCTGGCCCTGCAGTATTATCCGAGTTTTTGTTTGTTTGTTTGTTTGTTTTTAATTAAGAAAAAAAATATGACATTCTATTTAGGGTGGCCAATTTAAGCAACCCCAAATGAAAGTAGTGTCTCATCAAATCTGTTTTAAAGGGTTCACATTGTGCACCCCTCATCTCTGCCTTTATACTTTCAGAATTGCAATGAGTTTGAATACAAAGGGGTCTTGAAACCTACGTAAATTAAATATTACATTTCATGAAATATGTGTTAAATTATCAACTGAAGCATCATGTTCTCTTGGCTCGCTCACACTTCACCCAATAGCACTAGTAAACAGTCAACCACAATTTGCTTATGAGCAGCGTGAATATCAAATTAAGTAATGGCAAGTTTCTTCTTTTAAACTGGTGACTTTATGAGAGAGTGAGTTATGACCAGTAGTCATTGTACATTCCATGAAGCTTCCTTTTCTGCTTTTTCTTTATTCACAAAACACACACACTTAAGTAAAAGTGAATGAATGAATGAATGAATCAGTGAAAATATTTTCCAAATGCAAGGGTACTTCTGCTATTAATCCTTGGAGGAGCAACTACTGGTACATCTCTAAATTTAATATATTAAGGTATGCTTACTATAACTGTGACAGCTTGGAAAAAGTTTCCTGGCAAGCCAGCTTATTTAAGAAAGAAAGAAGAAAGAAAGGTAAAATTAAAAACCTTACAAGCCTTGCAGGAGCTTAATTAAAGTCGTAACGAGACAAATCTCCAACAAAAAAATGCTGTACTCAGGAGGTCTGATCTTGGATGGCTGGGTGTGCAGTGCTCCCATTGGTGGAAGTGGAGATTTGGGGGGCCTGTGTTGGAAAACAGCCCCTCAATGTGCCCTTTAATTCTGTTTTTCATTCACAAAGCCTTCACCCTTGTTTAAAGCTCTGGCAAAATGGCATCAAGAAAAATAAATTTTTCTCCCAAGGTCTTTCTCTTATTGCCTGCTCACAATTTCAGATTTTTCTCTTGTTGCCTGCTCACAATTTCAGATGTTGCCATTGCTGCTGCGGCTGTTGTTGAATGTACTAACAGTACTCTAATTATGGGTTCTGAGTTGAGGGTGGAACTCTTATCCCTGTCACGACTCCATCTCATGAGCCCTCTACTTCTTCAGAAGAGCAGTGTTTCATTGTTAAACAGGCTCTCTTAACTTCATTTGAGAAGAAGAAATAAAGACAAAATAAACAATCAGGCATTTCCATAACAGTTTTTTCTGATATTCTGTCTTGGAACAGCCAAGCAACTCACAGTGTTGGGACGGCACGCTGGTAGGAAATTGGAAGGACTTGAGTTTGGGTACCTACCTCTGATTAGATACATTTAAAGAAGTCATACAAATTTCACATCATGATCTCCACACTTTCAAGTGAGGATTATCTCATTTGGAAACATACTTCGGTATGTGTTCTTTGGGGTTTATAATTAGGATACCCACCATTTAAGCTTCCTGTAGTTCACCTGATTCTAAAATTATTAGGAAATTCTTTTTCTTAGCTTGAGAGATATGGAAAGCAGGTCCTTAGAACCCACAAGAGAGCATGTCCTTTGAATTTCTCTAAGGAGAAGGATCATCTCAGGGATATTCTAGACTTAAATCCAAATTGGACAGAATTTGAGAAATATAGGCATGGTAAGAACTGAATGTGTCAGAGTTGGGGCAGGCAGCAGACTATTGGGATTGATGACTCTAGCAAGGGTTTTGGCCATCACCTATAAAGTGGGTTATGGTGAAAATGAATGAGAAAGTGCCTAAGAACATCCTTTAAAAATGTAAGAGGGTACACAAACAGTGTTAACAGTGTTTCTCCATGTGAGCTTTGTTTGAGAATGTAATTTGGAAAAGAAGAGAGAGGGGACTTCTTTTTTCATTGTTTAAGGCAAGGAGAATCAAACTCAGTGCTATGGTCTGAAAGTTTGTGTTCCATCAAAGTGCGTATGTTGAAGTTCGCCAAGGTGATGGTATTGAGAGATGAGGGCTTTGGATGAAGACCAGGTCATGAGAGCAGAGCCCTCACAAGTGGGATTAGTGGCCTTATAAAAGAGGCCCAAGAGAAACCTGACTCTTCTTCCACCATGTGATGGCACAACTAGAAGTGAGTGGGCCCTCACTTCAAGACATTACAACTGCTGTCAAATTGGTCTCATACTCCCAAGACTCCAGAATAGTGAGAAAGAAATTGCTGTTGTCTGCTAAGTTTATAGCATTTTTTATAGCAGGCCAAATGGACTAAGACATTCGGAAGCCTTACCTCAACTCACAATAGAATTGTAGAATGTCATTTATTTTTTAATATGTAAAATGGAGGGATCAACCAATAGGGTAATGGGGCTGAGATACATGTTATGATGTTGGACAGAGACATACATTTACTAACCCATGTATTTTTTGTATAACCCTGCAGCTAGTCCTTGTGTTCTAAACCTAGGATAAACTCTAGGTTGTAATTCATATTTAAATATTTTTAATCCGTGAGAGAATAGCCACCTAGTTCTTTGGCAATGGTAAAAACTACCCCAGAGGAGATACTTTTTCTCCATGTGTACCAATTGCACTAAAAAATCTTTCAAAATTATAACAACATTTCCACCCAGTCTCAGGGCTTTTTCGAAGCTCTTGTAAAAATCTATACAGTGAGAAGCTCAGCAGATCCACCTCACAAGTTTTTGGCTTTATATGAAAAGGGACCAACCAGGTAATGTAAATTCACAGGAAGGGATGAATTGAGGACAAAGAGGCTGGGTTTAGGCCTTTTGTCCTCAGATCCCAGCTCTTCCCTTTTATTCTACCACAGGAGGGTTGGTCCTAGCCAGCTGTATTTTGCAGACATTCTTTTTGTTAGTCATAGTTTTTTTTTTTTTTTTTGACTTTTATTTTAGACTAAGAAGGTACATGTGCAGGTCTGTCACCTGGGTATACTGCATGATGCTGAGGTTTGGGGTACAAATAATGCCATCACGTGGGTATAGAGCATAGTGCCCAACAGTTGGTTTTTCAACTCTTGCCTGCCTCCCTTCCTCTCCCATCTAGTTGTCCCCAGTGTCTATTGATGCCATCTTTATTCCATGTGTACCCAGTGTTTAGCTCCCACTTATAAGTGAGAACATGTGGTATTTGGTTTTCTGTCCCTGCATTAATTCGCTTAGGATAATGGCTTCCAGCTGCATCCATGTTGCTTCACAGGACATGATTTCATTCTTTTTTTATAGCTGCATAGTATTCTGTGCAGATGTACCACATTTTCTTTATCCAGTCCACAATCAATGTGCACCTAAGTTGATTCCAGATCTTTGCTATGGTGAATAGTGCTGCGATGAGCATGCAAGTGTTTGGGTCTTTTTGGTAGAACGATTTGTTTCCTTTTGGATCTATACCCAGTAATAGGATTGCTGGGTCAAATGGTAGCTCAGTTTTAAGTTCTTTGAGAAATCTCCAAACTTGCAAGTGTTCTTGAGATGCTGTTGTACCCAGTCAAAGCCACTAGCAGGAGATAGCAGAAAGAGAGAGAGTGAAGATGAAGGCCAGCAGTTTATGAGTTTGTCCCCCACCTGCTCACCCTTGCCACCCATCTGCCTCAAGTGGCTTTTCTGCCTGATGCTCCTTCTCCTTCAGAGCTTCAGCTTTGACCAGACAGGCTCCCTCTGGTTTCAGCTCCCTTCTGGTGATGCAAATCCTCCTCTCTTTGCTTTTCCAGCCTGGAGAAGGTAGTAGCTTCCTGGTGTGTCTAATTTCTTGGTTATTTCACTCTTCCTTATCTGGTTCTCAGTTTCTTCATAACCTGAGTAACCAATTCTCTGCAACAAATTAATTCCTTCTGTTGGTGTAAATACTTAAAATGGTTTCTGTTTTTTTGGTTATACACAAGTAAAACACCATGTCGGTTGATGTCATGATCTTTGTTGTCATAACATTAGTTCCCTTTTCTCTCTTATTACCCGCAAGCCCAGTGTGTGAAGTGTTAACATTTTTATTTGGCTCCAGATTGAGAGATCTATTACCTTTTCATGGAAGACATAAAAGGTGGTTAGACCAAAAGGAATTTTGCATCCAACTGGAAAACCTTGCATCTAAGGAGAAAATGTTATTTTTAGTACAATTAATGACCACTGTGCTGTCTGAATTACTTTATTTTTTATAATATGTTTGAAAATTATCATCACATAGTCCAAAAACAGTGAACAGAAGACATTTACTTTTTAAAGTAATTTATTTTGGGACCAAAAAAAAAACCAAAAAAAAAAAAAAAAACCGTTAATATCATAAGACCCTGCAATTTCCATAGTAATCCCCTGTCTGATAATACTCATTGGGGTAACGAAAACACTAGGGATTGTTTTATATCTCAGAATCCAAGTACTGCAGCTATTGATCTGAAATTCTATACTTGAGGTCAATCCAATTGGGTCACCTGCAGGTTATTTCATGGGGATTTAACCCACTGACTGCAAGGACTTAATTCCCTGGAAATGACTTGTGCTGAAGGCATTATTAGTACTGTAAATGTGAACTCAGTAGAAAAGCACAGCCAGGGAGTTTTATGATAGGTGATGCAATCTTGTGGCTAGAGGCCTGCAGGGGACCCGGATATTTCCAGTAGATCTAAATCCTAGGAAATGTACCAACTTTACCTCTGTTCCCATCTTTTTTCTTCTGGTAACTCTACAGATTCAAAGGGAAAAAGACAACAAGAAATGCTTTTTTCTGTTGTAATGTCTGCATTTTTCCAAAGTTCCTGAAAAAGAGAAAGGGAGGAGAAAAACCCATTGGCATTTCTAATAATTGTCTCATTTAATTCTCAA